TCACTTGCAAGTGAATAATTCGACATCATTGAATCTGTATTCATGTGACATTCAATTAGCTATTAACCCATTAGCTAAAGATTGGTTACGCATGTATTTGTCGTGTTCAGCCATTAAAAGGAAAAGAATGTCAGCATTGAAAGTGAAACAAAGGTGAACCATTTCCTTGACGGATTTGATCTACAAAAAATCGTTCTTATACAGGTAAAAACAATGATTAACTTATTTTTTAAACTTATAACATGAAATCAAACAGACCTAGAAAAGTCCAATTGCACAAGGGCGCTATCTATTTCTATTTCTATTTATGTTTATATCGGGTTATGTGACCATCGGCAGTCTGCGGAGGTCATCTTGATGGTTAATTAGATGGCATCTAGACTGAAATACACATGAAATGCTGATATGTATTATTGAGTCTATGCATTGCTAATTGTTTATTTCAGACTTATTGTAATTTGGACATAAGTTTTAATATGTTATAAATCAAATATGAGAATTTGAGTCAAATCAGTGAACATGAATTTGACAGCTAATGCCCCTTTAAAGCAGTTGGTGCCCTTAAATGACAATTTTTACCAATTGTTTTGCATTTTTATACGACCGCAAAAAAAATTTGGCTATCATGTCGTCGTCCTCATAGTCTGAAGACACTTGGTTTCCGGACAATAACTTAAGTTTCAGTGTATGGATCTCTTTGAAAGTTAAACAAAAGGTTCCATACCACAAAAGGAAGGTTGGGGTTGATGGTCCCAATCGTTTAGGAATTAGGGGTCAAAAAGGGGCCCAAAACAAGCATTTTTCTATTTTCAGGACAATAACTTGTGTATAATAAAATTGAGAATGGAAATGGGGAATGTGTCAAAGAGACAACAACCAGACCATAGAGCAGACAACACAAGTATTTTGATTGCTCTGAAATTGTTCCACAAGGTTCAATACCACAAGTCAAAGGTTGGGATTCATTTTGGGGGTAATTGCCCAAACCGTTCAGGAATTAGGGGCTAAAAAGGGTCTTAAATAAGCATTTTTCTAGTTTTAAGACAATAACTCGTGTTTAAATGTATTGACGTCTCTTAAACTGCACCACATTTTACAAAAAGAAAATTTTCTTCAAAATTAATGTTTTTTTCTTTTCAATTTTTTTTTTTTTTTTTTAAAAGGGGGGGGGGGTCAATTTTTTTCTGCAAAATTTAAGAAATTGTCAATTTTCATAAGAAAATTTGGGGGTCACAATTGATAATTCTTTGTATATAGTCTGAAAACAGATTTACTAAGTAATGTGCAACATCACAGTGCACATAATATAAATAATAAATATAACCAATTTTAAGTTCTTTGACTACATTTATTCTGTGTCTGAAACCTATAATGTACGTGTCAATTATTTAATTACAATCCAAATTCAGACGTGTATCAAGCTTGAATATTGTGTTCATTTTTGCCCCAACTGTTCAGGGTTGGACCTCTGCAGTCATATCCAGCTGCGCTCGGCGAAGCAGTTTATTGTCTTTTATCTTGAAAAATATAATAGATAGATAGAAATCTAAATAGCAAAAATGTCAAGCAAGACCAGATCTTTAATTTAGTCAATGTGGCCCAAAATGTCAGTCAACTCCTTATAAGAGTTAATGCCTTTTTATACAAAGTTTTTGCAGATTATCTTGAAAAATATAATAGATAGATAGAAATTTTAAAAAGCAAACATTACCATCAGGACAAGATCTACATATAGATCAACATTACTGAAATTGTCAATTTTTGAGTTATTGCCCTTTAATAATGATTTTTACCACAAAGTGACCATGCATTGATGAAGATGCAGGTGAGCAACGCAGGCTCTTAAGAGCCTTTAGTTTTCTTGTGTGTGTTTTATGGTGTTATTAATTTGACTTTTTAAACTCGTATGTTGATAGACTGTGTTCCTGGCTCAACTTGTCTTTGCGACGTGAAGCTAGATTGAACCAGGATCCCAGGCTAGTAGGTTAATTGATCCCTTTAGTTGTTCTTTATATTTATCATTAATTCTGTAACCACTTCAAAAAAGTATTATGTCAAGTTTTTGTGTGAGAATTTCGTTTCCAAAACAGGCGAAATCTTATTCGGTACTTTATTGATTTGTTGTTTGAAGCACATGTCTTGCTACAGAGGTTAGGCCAAGGATTAAGAATTTTTTTTGTTACTTAGTTAACTCAAAATGATAGTTTAGAATAATTTGAACGAGGATTCCATCATTGCTACAAGTATATGTCTGTCCGATGTATGAAACGGTTTGTCATATGAACCTCTCATTATTGTGATGTGTCAGATTGAATTTTCCAGGATTAGGTCTTACAATTTAATTTGTTATGAGGAAAATATATTCATTGGACATATTTGATCATGTTTCATATGGCCCTTATTATTAACAATTTTTGAAATCCAATTGTCATTATTTGGGATTGGGTCTAGATCTTAAGCTTATAAATTATACAAGATATGAACATCTGAATTTCTCTAATTTTTTTCAAGTCCCCACTTTGAAGAAGGAAAGTAAATTCAAGACCCCTTCCAAAGACGTGAAAATTTCACGCCCTCCCCCTTTTTAGTATTATTTTTATTTATATTATTATTATTAATTAAATAATGCATAAGCTGTGAAAATAAAGCTTTCTAGTGGAGAACTTGTTTGTCACTTCAGGGAACTTTATTTAGATCACAACTTTGTTTGATTTCAGCACATTGTTCCTATCTTTCATTAAAGATTAGAAGTTAGTTCTAACAATTGAGCCAAGCGGAGCATGGCGAAAAAAAAAGGTTTTTTTGCTGCCAAAATTTTTGTTTTTTTTTTATTGTAAGGGAAACTTTGGGTGTGGGTCACTTGTCTTCACATCTCCAGGTCATAAAGAAAAAATATTCGTGTAAAAACATAATAAAAATGCTACACTTGACTTCTAGATATCCCCTTGAATCAATGAAATATATGCTCAATCGATTTATTATAATGTAAAGAAACAACTATTGATATTATCAGTGTTTTTATTTCATTGAAACTGAGACAACTGTAACACAGTATAGACTATAGTAGTCTCAGATGGAAAAGGGTATAATATTAAACAAGAGTGCACACGCTGAAATGTCTCGCCTTCTTTACTAATCATTGATATTATGTTGATAGTCCTAAACATAAAGCTTTATTACAACTTAACATTAACCAAGTAAACTAAACATTGACCAATGAACCATGAAAATGAGGTCAAGGTCAGATGAACCATGCTAGGCAGGCATGTACAGCTAATAATTCTTCCATACAACAAATATAGTTGACCTATTGTTTATAGTTTTGTTAACAGACCAAAACACAAAAACTTAACACTGAGCAATGAACCTTGAAAATGAGGTCAAGGTAAAAAAAAACTGTGTGACTGACAACTAGATCATAAAATATTTCCATACACCAAATATAGTTGAACTATTGCATATAGTATTAGAAAAAAAGACCAAAACTAAAAAAAATAACTTTGACCACTGAACCATGAAAATGAGGTCAAGGTCAGATGACACCTGCCAGCTAGACATGTACACCTTACAATCATTCCATACACCAAATGTAGTAGACCTATTGCATACAGTATAAGAAAAACAGACCAAAACACAAAAACTTAACTATAACCACTGAACCATGAAAATGAGGTCAAGGTCAGATGACACCTGCCAGTTGGACATGTACACCTTACAGTCCTTCCATACACCAAATATACTAGACCTATTGCTTATAGTATCTGAGATATGGACTTGACCACCAAAACTTAACCTTGTTCACTGATCCATGAAATGAGGTCGAGGTCAAGTGAAAACTGTCTGACGGGCATGAGGAACTTGCAAGGTACGCACATACCAAATATAGTTATCCTATTACTTATAATAAGAGAGAATTTAACATTACAAAAAATCTGAACTTTTTTTTCAAGTAGTCACTGAACCATGAAAATGAGGTCAAGTACATTAGACATGTGACTGACGGAAACTTCGTAACATGAGGCATCCATATACAAAGTATGAAGCATCCAGACCTTCCACCTTCTAAAATATAAAGCTTTTAAGAAGTTAGCTAACGCCGCCGCCGCCGGATCACTATCCCTATGTCGAGCTTTCTGCGACAAAAGTCGCAGGCTCGACAAAAACCTTCTAGAAAACCTGCTAAAACAAAGACATTAAACTATTATTCCCTTGTATTGTCATTCTTCATGTCCAACAAACAGAAGATGGTCATGACTCACACCAATGAAACATTGAAATGAAGTTTGAAGCCAAAAATGATGACACAAGAGATCTAGATATTGATATGACATCTGAATCAAGTGTTAGACACTTCTGCTCAATACTTGATACTGATTTAGAGTATTCATCAAATTATGTATAATTTTACATGTTTAAAATACAGAATTGCTGAAATCTTGTGAATTTTTTCGGTGCCCCCCCCCCCCCCCCCATCTGAAGTATCAAAATATTGGATACGGTATATCCACCCTTTTCATTCCCACAAATTTTCAAGCCCCCTTAGTTTCCTCCCCCTTTCAGGGTTACAAATGACCCGCCCCTAAACTGCATTTTAGATTTCTTTTAAAATAATCTAAATATTGAAGCAAGAAAGACACAATATAGTGTTTTAAAGTTTGTTCTGAAACACAGTAATTTTTGCAAGAGTAACTTGAACAATATTTTACGGTTTCAATAGTTAATGAGCTTGTTCCAAATCACGAATTTTCTGTGATTGTTGCTGTCCTTTCGTGGATTTATTTTTGGTATTGGCATCAATTTACTGGTAGAGACTCGTGCTGATAAAGAGCTTTTCATATGATGTGGGCGCTTTTCCATACAATTAACAGTGTAGTGACTTTTAGATGTATTTTTGTTTAACATGTGTGGTTGGATTCCTGTCTCATTGGTACCGCTGATCTGAATGGCACTAACTTAGTTGAAAGAGTTTGTAAGGCTTGAAATAGAATCAACAAACATCATTATCTTTTAAAAATTTATATTTATGTAAAAGAAAATGATAAAATAATATTAAGTACACCCGTGGAAACTGGAAAAACGGTACTGTTAAACATTTGCTATTACAATATAACTACTACACAACAACAAAAAATGAGACAGGAGGGTTACAAATCTATGCACAGCTAGTCAATATCATTACTTCATTACTCAATGTGAACAGTTACATAAAACAAATGACTACAGAACTGTAGACCTTAATACGGTTACATTTGCTTGGCAATGTGTGGATATTTAAAAAAATAAATAAAATAAACTTCCTGATAGTTAATGGAAGATCAAAACTGAAGTGAAGACATTAGGTTACACAATTTTGTCAAATTTGGTGGCTAAATAATTGTTAAAAGAATTTAAATCTCTCGAGTTGATACATATCGTTATCTACGGGTTGGTATGATAGAATCCAAGTATATATTGCTAATGATATATTATACCTCTGAATTTGCAATAACTGTAGTGTGTATATTTGTTGCACTACTTTATGAGTAGAGGGACACTGAGTAGGTATAAGCTAAAAGTTATTGTAAGATTGTATACATAAGATCAGGTAAAAAGAATCTGAATCTAAAATGAGTTGAAACATTAAAGAAAATTTGATAAAAAAAAAACACACGCACACAAAATACAAAAAAGGGGGTCCGTACCCCCAAATGCCTGTCGAAAAGACCATTTAATAAAAACAGTTATTTGGATTCTAAAATAACAATATGTTTCTTTAAAATTGTTCAAATTATAAAACATTTACTGGTCAATAAATAGGATACAAAATGTTTTGGACACATAAAAGTTTAAAACAAGGATTTGTATAGTCTGGGACTATTATATTAGTATATATAGTCCAAGGTATAGTATACAATACGTCAATATTATTATGAACATGCACTGTAATTGACATAAATGACAAAAATGCCCATTTTACACAATGTTTTAAGAAAGACGGTTCGCCCGAGCTACTTAATTGTAGCAAATGATCTTTTAACCTAGTATATGTTTTATGAACTCAATCGGCATGCCTCGGCAGATCTAACAATCTAAACTTGTTGTAGGGAAGAGAAATCAGCCGAGATTGCCGATTGAAGGTGAACTAATTAAATATTTTCACACCACAAAAGTATAACAATAAAGTTCATAGACTGTAATGTGGCAATCCTCGCTCAGCCCCCAGACTGTCTTCATTTTTTTTTTATATATAATAGCACTGGCTACAGCATAACCGAACTGAATTAAGGCTGTTCCTGTTTGGGAAAGGAAGGGGTATGGTGTTTTCCTAATAAAATAATCTGATTCCCAACTTTGGAGCAACAAATATTTTGTTTAGCAGTAGGAAAAAATAAAATTTCTTGATTGGGAGATTTTGCCATTAAGTTTGATGTTAAAGCTGGAAAAAAAATTCGTGCTGTGCGTGAGAGTGAAATAAATAATTTAGGGCTTGGGTCCCATGGAATAAATTTTCTGAAAGTATCCAAAACAATACAATTACTCGAAGTTAAATGGTCCTTCCCTTACAAGACCGACATTTTAGAAGAAGGAATGATGTTGCCAGAAGGGACAACTGCAATGAAGATGCAAATGAAATATTGGTTCAATTCTTACGGACCATACTAAATATATTAAAAGGAACAAAGCACAATACCGTTTCTTGTCATGGACGGATACATATTATGTGTAGCACCAGAAATAACTATTATGAGTATGCCGATAATAAAAATAGTAATATGAAACTATGATAAATATGTTTTCTATATAAAAAAAAATAGAATCACAATGTCACTAGATTGTTGAAAATGCCTCAACTTATAAAAAGATCAAGTGTCAAAATTCTTTCTTGAGACTTTTATTCACGAATGCAAGTTAGCTGCATAATGTGAAAAGTCAGAATCTTATAAATAAACTTCGGATGCTAAAAAGTAAAATATCGGATGAGAAACTTTCAGTTATGTTTTTCAATAGTTATAAAACGACAGAAAAAAAATCGATGAATCCTACACAAAAATGACGTCAAATCATCGCTTGCTTCATTTTTGGCTAACATTTTTTGCTCGAATGAGTCAACAATAATACAGTCCCTATATTAAACATAATATCTGTTACATATAAATACAACAAATTCGACTCAATATTTCGTACTTAGAACATAATTATTTCCGAGTTAGAAACAAAAACCATTCAATCATTTGAGACACATTATTAAGTATTATCAGCTGACTCATGAGCTGTCGAAAATGTGTCATCTTCGTCTTGTCCTGCTTGACCTGGTATTCTCTTTATACCTTCTTCCATTCCTTTCAAGGCCAACACAAACGGTAAGATCTTATTGTGTAAACCGTCTCCAACGACATCCTTAACTTTCGCCTGAATTAAGAAAAAATATTTGACTTTTTATTTAAAATGTCTTATGGTCCACAATCCGTTTTAATTTTGTTTTGTTTTTTTAAAGCTAACTTCCTCCATAAGTTATGGAGGAAGTTAGCTTTAAAAAAACAAAACAAAATTAAAACGGATTGTAGTTTACTCCTATTCTATTAATTGTTTGTACTATGTTGTCATATACTTAAAACAATATTATTTTGTATCTGTTAGTGTTAGTCTTATGTAAATTTTAAAACGCATACAATTTTATGAACAGAAATCGTTTATTACGGGTTCACCTAAAGTTCCAACTACCTCCGGCGAAGTTGGTATTTGATGTATTTGTCTTTTCTTATTGGGCAACTTTTGGTAATATATAGCTTACATCCTTGGCTTTCAAATGTTTAGGTTTGAGCTTGGCATGATGAAAGTAAATCCAGAAAAGCGCTTCGGAAGCAAGAAAGTGTATCTAGTGCTATTTTCGCATAATAGCACTGGGTCGATACTGCTGCTGGTGGACTTTTAGTCCCAGAGGGCATCATCAGCGCAGTAGTCAGTGATTCCATACTGACACATATAACATACTTTTCTAAAATTCCCGTTGACAAATTCAGAAATTATTAAGAGACTATAAGGTTCTAACTCCCCCAGGCAAAGTTGACCTTAATATGAATTTTGCTATTCTTTGTAGGTCACTTTTGGTATTATAACATCTAAAGTTTCTACGTATTTACACATCCATGGCTTACAAATGTTTAGTTTTCGCGTTCCTGATAAAAGTAATTAAAAAAAACTCTGCGGACGCACGAAATTTAGCAAGTATTATTTCCGCCAACCGAATTTCGCAGAATCCCAAGCGAGACATAGGGGATACTTATCAAACCACACAGCATACACTGTGTATTATAGAAGGTAGAACACATTGATACTTCATTTCTGGTAAACAGATGCCTTATGTTCTAGTTTTCTTCTTGCATATTGTCATTGACCTAAGTTTTATGGTTCAGCGACTGCATATTTTTTTATCACTTGATTTTCTCACTTATTATTATGTTTACTTTATGTGGTATATATAGTCATATACATTCCTGTACGGATTAGTGAGCAACGTTAAGTTTTCATAATTTGCCCGTTTCTAAAATGATAATAATCAATAGTCAACCGTGTATTTGATGTATGGAATGATTGAAAGGTGTACCTGACTGTCTGGCAGGGTTCATCTGACTCTGACGTTATTTTCATGGTTTATTGGTCAACGTTAAGTTTTCGTGTTTCTCAGATCCTATAATCTCATTAACTGTGTAATTATTCTAAAACTTTTTAGAAAAAATTATGTTACAATTCCATTGTTGACCACAGACGGGTTTATATATTATGTTAGTCGATGTTCACATGCAAACTTTTTATTTGGCTTCTCAGTGAAATTTTGCTCTCTAGCTTTCCTGATGAAGATTATTCCAGAAATGCGTGGTGTGTGCACGGACATAACAACTTTAAAGAAATCAAGTCCCGACATATTGCATATCTTAACTTGTTAACATTTTCCGAATTGCGGGATAAAATAATGGGAATAAGTTCCCGAATTTGATTTGACCAATGATGCTAGGAAACTTATGAAGACACATTTACAAACCTCAAGTCCTGGATAATCAGTTGGATTTTTGTTGAAAAACCTCATAATTCTCTCCAACTTTTTCGTAGCTTTGTGGTCTCCAATCATTTTTACTATTTTCCTGTAACAAAAATACCTTGATTTCATACCAATTTATAAACTTTTGACCGGAAGTTTTATAACTTCGGGACATCAGTTTCTAGAGATTTATACAACTTAATAATCAGTCATTTTAATGTCACAAGGGGGAACCGATCTTCGCTAATAAAGACAATCTGCCAAGGGTGGAGAGGAGGCGACTGGATCGTAAACCTTAGCTAGCGTAGATAGGGGAAACCGTTTTAACTGTTTTTGTTTTAGATTCGGACATAATTTTCGGGTACTTGAGTGAGTTTAAGGCCGACTTTACACATCAATGAATACCTTCAAAAACAACTATATTACTTTAATAACTGATCCAGATTAACTTACGCCTGCATATTGGCCGACTGTCTCTGCAATCCCGTATTTTCTGATACTGTACTGCCTAAAGCTGAAACTGAAAAAAAAAAGAAATGTGGGTTTTCCATCAAATACAGACTACGTTTGGTCATTATAGTATATATAAGTACTATGTTTATGGTCTAGAAAATCAAGATGTATAGGATATAAAAAATACTTTTTAACTTGCGTTTGATTAAAATATGCATCGAAGTTAAAATACAATCTACGAGGGATGTATCATTATATCCTATTGTTCCTCCGTTCATTCCAGAGTAAAACTATTTAAATCTTCGAAATATGCATTTTCCCTAAATAAAGGTTCTCTACACTGATTAACTTCAAATTTTAGTATGGCTTAAACTTTCCGTACTAAATATAAATGGTTGTTTGATGGTTTGTTGCGATTTTACTTTAAGCAAGTGCTCACCAAGGCTATGTTCAGAATTTTCCGTTGATAATGTTGAAAAAAAATAAACACTTCTTAAAGTGAGTTTTATTTTCGATTTCAGTTTAAGCGTAACATGTGCAAGTTGTAGGCATAATATAGAGAAAATGGTGATTATCATAGACAGTATTTTGACCATAATTTGTATCGAATCATCATCTCCTTTCCCCATAAAAAAAACCCACATTTTTCATCATAATGATTGCATAAGAGATTCATAATCAATATTGTTAAGTTGGTAAGTGAACGAACCAAAACACTAGATCAACTCTAATTTAATAAAGAGGTATACACTTAACTTTTTACTTGCAGCAATAATTTTCAATAATTCAGTACGTATTATTCTATTCTTAATAATAGTCATGTTAAACGTTGTTATGTAAATAAACAGCAATTAAGATAAATACACTTACCTGCGCTTTCTTCGCAGCTTTCAGATGTTCTTTGACTTCTTCGTCTTTCTGATGTTACTATTCCAGAATCATGTAAGGATGACTTGGTCACTAGATAAATAACATATAATAATGGTATCAAACGAATTTGATTTGAAAAAAAACGTTTTTAACAGTATGGCCCCAACCACTGTAATTTTACGTATATGGACAAAGCCATTTCAAATTATTACCTGCTTAATGTAATGCAATGTTTGATTCTAATAGATATAAGAAGATGTGGTATGAGTGCCAATGAGACAACTCTCCATCTAAGCCACAATATGTAAAAGTAAACTTTTATAGGTCAAAGTACGGCCTTCAACACGGAGCCTTGGCTCACACCGAACAGCAAGCTATAAAGGGCCCCAAAAATGACTAGTGTAAAACCATTCAAACAGGAAAACCAACGGTCTAATCTATATAAAAAAAACGGGAAACGAGAAACACTTATGAACCACATCAATAAACGACAACCACTGAACATCAGGTTCCTGACTTAGGACAGGTGCAAACAAATGCAGCGGGTTTAAACGTTTTAATAGGCGCCAACCTTCACCCTACCTGAAACGATAGTGTAACATCACAACATAGAAAACATTGCAAACTCATTCCTGAGCTCAGTGCTAACAGGCACTCTTAATTGTTTTAATACTAAGCAATCATTATAGTGTCGTATTTACCATTTTTAACCAGTTAATCTGGCTACTATAAGAATAAGACTTTTTATGATATCATCAAGTGCATATTATTCATATATAAGTGTATCATTGCGACCTATGAAAGCGAAGACAGTGTGTTACTTTGCATTCGATGTTTTTAATGGATTGAATGTTAACACCATTCCTGTCTGAATTATTAATTGCTGTCTGAATTATTAATAAGGGATATCTTTCACAATTCCTATATAAAATAGAGAATGGAAATGGGGAATGTTTCAAAGAGACAACAACCCGACCAAAGAGTAAAAAACACAGCCGAAGGCCACCAATAGGTCTTCAACACAGCGAGAAAATCCCGCACCCGGAGGCGGACTTCAGCTGGCCCCTAAACAAAAATGTGAACTAGTTCCGTGAAAATGGACGTCACACTAAACTCCAAAACATATAAATGAACTAAAATAAAAAAAACATACATGACTAACAACACAATTGTAACTACATATATAAACCTCCACAACAGTAAGCAGTATTTCTTACTTTGTTGTGAAATGTTAGAAACATTAAAATTGGTCTTCGGTTTTTGCTCTGTGACAAATGTTTTAACGTCAGCTGCTGATGGTCTGTCGGCTGGTTTAAATTCTAACATCTTCCGTATCATGTGTTTGATTGGATCGCTATACTGAAGCCGGTCAAAATCAGGCAACTGTCAAAGATATGTATATCTATCGTTAAAAAAGGAAGGTCTTCAAATTCCATAATGAAGTAGATAAATTATAAGTGTATATATTTTTTCTTGAGTAATTAATATTTGATTTGTAGTTTGTGGATTATTGAGTTTTGACAGTTATATTGGTGGGATTATCACTAACATTAAAGAGTATAAGCGTTGTTCATCATTTTAAGACGTTTATGTATACTTTTAAATAAAAAATGTTATCTTAACTCCATTCTTCCATGTTTCCTTAAAGCAATAACTATAGAAAAAAATGGCCTGGTCAGCTGTTTACCAATTTTGATATCTTACTCACTGTCTTACTTTGATTGTTTGATGTTTGCTTAACGTCCAGTGACAAAGGTTTCGTGAATGTTTAGAACGGACAAATTAACAATAAATACAATAGGGAAGTCCTGCAATAGAAGAGGGGATGGACAGGGGGATTAGCAATTCCCACATCCCTCCCCTCCCCTCTTACTCCCGAAAATGTAGTCTTCATGTCAGAAAAGAGGAAATAACGTGTAAAACCAATTAAAACCAAGGCTAACAGATTTAAATACCACAAACAACACAAAATAACCAAAAGAATGTGCACAGACGCCAAAAATAAGCGAGCAAATGCAGAGGAATTTACAGGGAGCACAGACCAAAAGTACTTGTAGTTTGGTTGGGAATGATCAAACCGACCAGGATTAACCTATCACCTCCACTTGCTTGTACCCAGACCGCAATATATGACAGTTGTCACTTAGCTGCTTCTTAGGCATAATGTTTTTATGCGCCTGTCCAAAGTTCAAGAACCGTTGGTCATTTATCATGTGTCATTAAAAGTTTTAGTTCACTATATGACGAATTGCCATCGTTCTGTAACCATGGATTGATTACCCTTTTTCTTGGGCCTTTCCGATCGCGATTTCCCTGCTGGGTGTGAGTTTCACATGTTGAAAACCTCGTGGTGAACTAGATCTGAGTATTTATTTCTGTGGTCACTAGTGGTGATGCGCTGGTGCATTTTTTTTTTTTTTGCTTTTCCCAAAATTCGTTCTTTTTCTATAGTGTTGGATTTACCATGGTTATAGTTATTTTTAGACATCAATTACTTAGTCAAACCTACATGGAATTTAATGAAACTTGGACAGAATAAAATTGAGAATGGAAACGGTGAATGTGTCAAAGAGACAACAACTCGACCAAAGAGCAGAAAACAGCTCAAGGCATCATGAGTCTTCAACACCGTGAGATTATTCTGTATTTTACTAATAAATGGACTTATATAGCCGACTATAAGGTATGGGGTTTTCTCATTGTTGAAGGCCGTACGATTGCCTATAACTGCTTACATCCACTTCATTTGAACTTGGATTTATAGTATCATGAGTATCCAGAGCAAAATTTTGGAAATTTTTATTTTCGTTTTTCCATACTTTTACTGATAAATGGACTTAGTTTTTTTTTACAGTTAACAAGTAAATACAGTCTGGGGTTAAAGTTTGTCACACATTAATAAGAGTTTTATGAATCTTTGGCAGAAACTTTTCAATGATTAAGAGATAATCAGTCAGGATTCTACTTCGTTAAAATTATCTCCCCATTACGCCACATTATTTTTATAATCGTAAAAATGGAAGCCACTGTAGTATTTTCTGATAGATGGACTTGCTTTTTACAGTTAACATTTACAGACAATCTGGGATCAAATTTTTTTGACATGATAAATTTGTAAACCTTCATGGATTGTTATGAAACTTGGACAGAAGCTAATCTTTAAGACCGAGAAATAGCATCCAAAGAAAAAGTTTGATTTTTCTTTTAAATTCTGTATTTTACGGATAAATGGACTCACTTTTTAAGTCAACTTTACACTTTTACAATGACAGCAGCAATCACAGACGAGACACAGGGTTGAGGCCCCTCATGGGGGTGTTCAAGTTATCACATAATCACAATTTTTTTGCCAATATAATCACATAATCATTTACTATTTTTTTAAACAAGGTAATCAAATAATCAAAAATACAGTCCTAGATTATCAAATAATCATGAAATATTTGGTCTGGTAATCAAATAATCACTATAAAAACGGCCAAGTAATCACATAATCAAAAACCCGGGTTCAGTGGAACCCTTTACGATTTTCTTTTATTTTACCCCTTTGATCTTAGAAAACTATCTTGTTCTAAGTTTCTATTTGTAACACCTGGCTTTGGTTTCCGCTTTGGACAGGCACACACAAATATGTGGTTAGGTTAAACATATTGTTAAAAGTTATCAAAAGTGGACGTTGGTGCTAGTAGCTATAAAGGTCAGCTAAAGTATTTCTTGCAGACTGTTTAGGTGATATGGTTTGCTTTGTAAATAATGCCATGCAAATCAGATTCCTCTTTGACGAGATGCTTGTAAGCGTGGCACCATCGTTCTTCACTGCTAACATATAATCATACGTGCCGTGCTTAGAACAACGTTCTGATAATTTATGAGCCCCCTCATGGGGTGTGCAAGTAATCGCATAATCAAAAATGTTTTGCCAATGTAATCACTTCATCATTAATTATTTTTTTAAACAAGATAATCAAATAATCAAAAATACAGTCCTAGATTATCACATAATCAAATAATCATGAAATATTTGGTATGGTAATCAAATAACCACTATAAAAACGGCCAAATAATCACATAATCAAAAACCCCATGAGGAGGCTCATTTATACCCATGTTTGAAGATTTTCTGAAAAAGTGTTCCCTGTTGCAATGAGATAGATGTAATAATTATAACGTGCAGTCTTCTCATTTTTTCGGTAAATGTGTATCCCTGCAACAATCGGAGCCATGACGGAAATGTCTGCATAAGAGGCGATAGTCCAAATAATTATGGCGTCTTGAAAGGCTATTATATGTTTTTTCTTTGACGCCTTACATCGCAGGAAGGCGTCAAAGCAAAAATTTAAAATTGCCTTCCAAGACGTCATAATTATTTGGACTAAAGAGGCGGGGGATACCAAAGCCCGAAGGGACATTCTAACTGAGCGTCAGGGTTAAAAAAGAAGAAAAACAAACAGACAGACAGACAGACAGACAAACAACAGTACACAAAACATAACATAGAAAACCAAAGACTGAGCAACACGAACCCCACCAAAAACATGGGGTGATCTCAGGTGCTCTGTATCTATCTAAATAGAAATCCGACACCAGACGATTTTAGATCATTTTAGCCAATTCAAGATTTGAAATGGTTGGTATTGACCACCTTAGAAGGTCTTAGAAGTATTTAGGTCCATATAGGCCATTTATATCTGTTTAGTTTCATTCTCATTTTAAAAAAATCCTGCCCCTTTACTCCCGGATCCCGCACAACTAACTCCCGCTTCCCGCCCCCTTACTCCCGGGTTCCCGCCCCCTGTCCACCGCCGGCTCATAGAAGGTCGACCGGGATGATAGGCGGGAAATTTGGAATGCCTTTGAAAATGATGGTATATTGGATAGGGTCAGAAATATAGCCTTGAATCAAGCCACCTACGGACCCATCAACGAGTTCTTAAAATGCAGAGAGCAAGACGCTCTCTTCAAGTGATGCATCGGATTTAAAGTACCCATTTTGACCTGACATGGCCATGAATTAAAACATCCCGCACTGCCGAACAGACGCCCCACATAGGTAAGGGTTTTACTGCCACTTAACATATTTCTATACCCCAGTCAACCATTGGGATCGCCTTGCTTTCAATTCAAGTTATATGAAAAAACTTTCCAGTTGGTTTATCTTTACAAGACTAACAAAAAAAAAACCACTATATTTAAAATCAAAATAATTTTTGTTGTAATAATTTATTTATTAATGAAATTAAAGTTAAAAAGTAATAATATTTATGCAGGTGTTGTGTCCACTCTCCTAAGTGCAAATGACTTTTTAATGAACGGAACAGTAAGCTGCATAATATCAAATGAAGATATCTAAGTAACTGTAATCTATCTTTTTCAGGTAATTTCATAGATCCTGGAATAATATTGTTTATGTCTTTTTCAAGCTGTTTTTGTAAAGATTTATTGATTTTACATGTTAAGAAAAATTGGGTTTTACCTTCCACCTCATTAATATTTCAATGATTAAAATTCTTATATTTTATCTGTGAATTCTTTTATATTTAACCGTATCTATTTCCTAGAAATGGTCACGCAATCGCATTCTACATATTATTTTTCGATTGATAAAAATTGTTTTTAAGAATATATTTGTCTAATTCATAATTTGTCTTAATTTTGCTGTACAAGAACATTTTACTTTGTTTCATTAGTTGATTTTAATTTTTCAAAGAATAATTTTTCAAAGCTATCTTTCAGTTCTTTTTTAATATTTTTGAGAATGAATTCTCTTGTTTATAGTTTATTTCATGTATCTTATGTACGTCTATTTTATTTGTGTTAGCTATATTTTCTACATATAAGAACCATGAACACCGTCACATACCGGTTGTGCTGAGCCATTCAGGTAAACAGAAAGCATTATATAATAAAAGGTTATTTTCATCACTGGATATTCTTGCTAAGTATTTCAATAAAAACATGTACAGGATACTGGGCTATAATGAAAAAGTATGCCATACCTGTTTAGAAGTTACTTTTTTCTTAATGGCGCTTACACTTGAGCCAGGAAAAGCATATTCTCCACAACCCATTTCAAAGCACACACAACCAAGACTCCAAACGTCAGTCTGAAAACAACGATTTTAGGAATATAAATCAAAGTAGGTGTTGCGGGTTATACGCCAATAACACAGCATGCAATACGACACAAATAAATCGAAAGACATAAAAGTATCTTTTAAATTTTGTACATAATTAACTGTTAACATCAAATGTGGTTGCCTTCAACTGTACGTGTTTAATACTATAAGATATGAACTTATAATTGTTAGGTCGGAGTGATATAATACTGAGTTATTTTGAAATAATATCTCGCATCAATAGTGGGCTCATACATATGTAACCATTTAAACTGAAATTAAACAAAGATAAACGTTAAAAAATCATAAAGACGAGTTTTCTAGAAAATGTAGAATACTGACTGTTAATTTCATACCTTAAAATCGTATGTTTCTCTATTTAAAACCTCGGGGCTCATACAATTTGGTGTTCCAACTACTTTTGTCAGTTTCAAATCGATTTCTTCTATTTTTCTTGAAAAAAAAAGAGAAAAGTAGTGATTAACGAAAAAAACCAACAAAAATCATGTGTTTGACAACGTCTAGGAGGGAAGCGGTGTTGATACTCAAAGGAATACCAACTAGCTATTTAAACAAGTATATGCAGCATAACGATTGTTTAAGTTTCGTCAGTTATGCTGGAGGAAAAGAAATTCGAACGCCAAAATATGAGATATTTGAGATCATAGAAACCAAAAGGTCAACTTTGCATCAAGGAATTGCAACCTTGGTTTTAATACTATTACACAATTCATGAACCAAAAATTTATATACAAATATATCGTTTAAATTATACAAGGACCAAAGCATTGGCTGCTAGGTGGATTGAACCCTAGGGCCTAAATAGTCCATTGCTCTAGTGCAAGGTTTTCATGAAGACTTCTTAAAAACAAAAGATGCTTGTGGTCCTTTCTTTCTCATTTATGAATAAGTAAGTAAGTAAGTAAGTATAAGTATATTGTTTATTATAGTGACATGTGTATAACTGTATTACAATGAATGTATTTTATGTATTTATACAATGACTAATTACTACATTTTGCAACTTCCTGTTTCTAGCTTGACGCTCGTACATAAAAAAGTGTAACCCCGCCATATATTGTCTTTCGTTATATCGTAAGATCGTCCGAAACATGTATGAAATATTTGCCACTGGATGTTAAACAACCAACAATCAATCGATTATATCGTAAGACGGTTTTTCTTCTCTTTTTATTTTGCTATTTTTAGAATTTGGTGGTGATAGATAGGGATTTTGAATTGGTGGTCTGACACCTTAATAGTTACAGTTTCCGCGCATACATCTTCACTTTCTTAATTATCTTGAGTTTGAGCCATGGTTCAAATTCATCTTTTATTCCATTGTGATTCTTTTCCACAACTTTGGAATTGATATTGTTTAATTAAAACAGCGTCGATATTTAAAAAATTTGGTGACTTTTAAAAAGTGAAACAAATCAGTTTTATATGTTGTAAAAAGTCAGTTTTAAGATTTTATTTTTGTCCTCAAACTGTGGTCTGGAGTGTAAACCAGTCACACGCAGAGTTGTCAATGACAGCATATAGAAGCAACGTAACTTTACTAAATTCTTTTTAGAGTTTCGTGAAAAATAAATGACAACTAACCTTGCAACTCCAAAATCTGCTAATTTGAGGTCGTTGTGAGCTGTCAAGAGTACATTTTTCGTTTTAATGTCGCGGTGTAGTATGCTCTTACTGTGAAGGAACTGCAACAATAAATAAATATCTACCAACTTAGTAGTATTCATAAAATAATTCAAAATAAAACTCAAAAATAGAAAATTACAATATGAACTTCATTACATACGGAAGATTAAGATTAAGTACAGTTTAACTTCAGTTAAATGTATTTGTGTCGTGTCTTATTAATACTGTTTGTGTGAACATTTTGCCAATTTTGGCGATAACGTGTTTCACTACAGAATTTTAAAAATTAGGAATGTGTAGTAAGATTACTTATGAGACAACTGTCTACAAGAGACCAAATGATGTAAGCAATTATAGACCACCGTTTGACCTTCAACAACGAGCAAAACCCATATCGTATCGTACGCTATAAAAGGCCCCGACATGACAAAATGTAAAACAATTAGAACGAGAACACTAGTGGTCTGATTAAAGTACAAAAAAATTAGCAAAAACAATGTATGTTTCGATAGTTTTACAAGAATACATATACAATACTTCTTTGCATGTGACAACTGTACTAAACAATATATTCTCCATTGGATAGCCAAGCAGTCGTCAACTTTATACGGAGTTCACTATATATACCTTTTTTGTCTTAAATTCAGACCAATAATGTTAGACTGCGTTTTACATATTTCAAAGTAAGTTATAAACTCAAGCGGATGAGAAATCATCATATCACCAATGTCACGATCCAGCACCGTTAACTATTCATCCAACAAGGCCGAGGGAATTGCAAATTAACAGAATAAAAAACCGTTTGTTCGAAGCCCGGGTGAAACCTTTCCTGATAGAAAAACAAAGGATATAGGGTATCCATCTATGACACAAAATCAGTACATGCACAGCAAAAAACACACAAAAAGCAAAGCAACAGCGCTTTTATTGTTGTTCTTCATATCAAAGTCACATTGAGTTCATCAACACGGAGCAAAAAAACTTTCTCCTCAATTCAAGTCTAAGATGGCCCCTAGCACCGGTTTGATCTAGTTTGCATAATCTATGGTTGTTATACTGCATTGATTGTTTAACCATAAACATTGTCATCGTGTAGGATTTATTGAAATAAAGACGAACTACAGCATTTGTATCTCCAAGCCACTACGCACCCGGCATGTATTGTGTTAAATTCCAAGGTTAACACTCTCTATTCTCGGCTATTGGTACAGCAAATACAGTAGGATCTGTGTTCCCGATTGTTATTTAAAAAAATAGTGTTTGGCTTTCGTGTACATAGATATAAAAAGGTGTGGTATGAGTGCCAATGAGACAACTCTCCATCCAAGTCACAATTTATAAAAGTAAATCATTATAGGTCAAAGTACGGTCTTCAACACGGAGCCTTGGCTCACACCGCACAGCAAGCTATAAAGGGCCCCAAAAATTACTAGTGTAAAACCATTCAAACGGGAAAACCAACGGTCTAATCTATATAAAAAATGAGAAACGAGAAACACTTATGAACCACATCAACAAACGACAACTTCGAACATCAGATTCCTGACTTAGGACAGGTGCAAACAATTGCAGCGGGTTTAAACGTTTTAATGGTACCAAACCTTCACCCTTATCTGAAACAATAGTGTAACATCACAACATAGAAAGACACATTATAAAATATCAATTGAAATGGCTTAACTCAATCAAAAGACATATTAACACAAGTGAACATACACTGAACGATCAAATTTGATCTATGATACAATGTAAATACAAAATCAATAAAATAAGGGATGAATAATTAAAGTAACAGTATTATACCGCATATTTTTGATTATCCTATTTTGTCGCACTCAGCCGTATCGGTAGCAGGAAATAGGGTTTGATTAAACTTGCAAAGATAGATATCTTTCAGACTACTCAGACTACCGAAAGATATTTCTATATAGATTGTTCGACTGTGAGGCCAATGTCGTTTGCCACAAGCAGTACGTTGACGATGCCGTTTAACTGTCAACAGCCTGCTCCGAGAACGATATGAATTTGGAATTGGAAAACTGCAGTTCTTAAATTGATGGTATTAATTGAAGTCGATTCAATGCTATTTTGTTTAATTTAACGGAATGTATAGTGATTGTGTTTATGTAACATACCTCTAGTCCATTCGATAGTTGGTCTAAATACTCCATAAAGGTGGATTCATGAATTGATTTCCTTTTCCTTATGTAAGCATAGAGACTTCCTCCTTCGTAGTAGTCCATAACAATACAGAGGAAATTATCATGTGTGAAATATTCCACATATCTGACAATGTTAGGATGTTTCTTCAGATCAGGGTCGTTCAGTATGTTTATTTCTCTATCTAACCATCTCTTTTGTGTTGCATTGACATTTGCTGCGACAAGGTTGATAAGTTTAATGGCTAAGCTAGTTGGCTGAAAAGTTGTATATAGTATAAATGTGAAGACGTGTTCGCAGGCACTATAAGCGATCTCACTAAATGATACCCTGCCACAATATACAGTAATGACAAAGTCAATGAATAGCTTAGAGAAACTCCAAAAATAAAGTGGATGAAAAAGTAATAAAAAGTGCACAATGCATGGCATTATAAGGTAAAGATTCTGTTTAAGTTTCAATGAGTTTTGAAGCATGGTACACCCTGATAAAGCAATGACAATTTAAGTCCATAATTTTCTAAAGGAAACCCAAAAATGAACTAAAATGGCATAAAAAGAGTGCGAGTGCGCAATGGCATTATATGGTGAAGACCCTGAGCAGTTGCGGATACAAAAGTGGAACTCCCCAATCACTATATACCTATATATATACGCTTCACAAAGTAAGTATATAAAAAACTGACCATCACCTGATATTTTTTTTACATTTGACCTTTTCAATTCATATTAAAGCCACCGGTGGCGGATCCAGAGGGGTTTCCGGGGGTTGGAACCCCCCTCCTTTTATCCTGGGTTAGGACCCCCCCCCCTTTTATAAATGGGTGGATCCGCCCCTGGCCACTGACATAACTCCCTTTAGTCATACAATTGTATGCTTTAATCCATCTTTCATAATAACAGCCAGCCTTTTTGGTATGTGTATTTGTGTGTTATTTCTCTCCAGTTTTTTTTCTATGTTTGTCATTTGTTCAATTGTATGTTTGCTTGTTTTGGTTTGTTTTAGCAAGGTTATATGACCTCCTTGGTTTTAGCTTACCTTTTTTATGTTTTATTTTGCTTTGATTGCCATGTTTATAAGTTTAAATTAGTGGTATGCTATCATCTTTTTGTTTCAATCATAGTCATTGAAGAAAAATGAAAGACGACAATCTCCATAATACAGGATTTATTATTGACATTGAGACATCCTATCGACAGACATGCATGCAGCGGGTTGCTGAAACACATTAAACGAAAGCTTCGGATGTGATATCCATACAACAAGAGTTGGTATGACTATCATAAAACTAATTGTTATAACATTTATTTTTAATACTTACGGTAAATGTTTCTCCCCCTCTTAGCTTGGCTTTTGTATTAGTTGCGACATACACTTGTCCAAACGTGCCTTTACCAATGAATTTGTGAATCATATAATCCCCACAATTTGTTCCCTCCAAATCACTAGTCGTCGAACATGTTCTGCTTCTACTGGCCATGATTCATCAAATATCGCAAAGTGTAAATATAATTATGTGGGGTTCCAATTTACTTCCTTATTTGTTCCCATCTGGTTGATTATTTTATTTGTTAGATATTTAAATTGATTTCTGTGGTACGCCAAAGAGCATTCAATTTAAAATACCAGATCTTATAAATAAAACATTTGTCGACCAATAATAGTTTAACTGAAGCAGAGACCTACTATAAATTGTGATATAGCTTCCTGACTGTAGGGGATTTCTCAGAACTACATAGAAATTCTTCAGAAATGAATGTTATTTTCCGACTTTCCTCGTTCTTCAGCGCTCTTATAGCAAGTAACGTTTTACAGATTGTTTGCCTTGCTAACGTATCAAGAGATACATACGTTCAAAATGTATGTGACTAGCCCTATATGGCGCTTTAATATCGTTTTCTGTGGTTCACTCTTGAAAAACTGGAAGGGCTGCATGTTTTTTTCCGGGTTGGTCTAAGATCGAATATTTTTGTTTAATTCTTGTTATATTTTGATATTTTTCAAAGTTATGATTCATTCGAGTTTCCAGATTTCCGATAGCATAGTGAACGGAAAACTAATATGTTATCAATGTTTCTATAAGTAGATTATCTTTTCCATCCAATGTAGTTCACAGTCCCTCTCGACTGGCACCAAATAAATAAAATAAAATTGCGATGACTTTAAAACCTTATTTAGAGCAAACGTTTTGTATTACTAGTATCCGCCAAGAAATATAGTTGGTTTTACAACTGGTTAAATTGTGCTACCTTCTGATGTTTAGATGGCAAAGGTCATGGAAAATTGACAGTTTTTGGATACAAAAATGCGATGTCAAATTAAACGGAGTAAGTCAACAACACAACCTCTGACCATGCAAATTTTTTGCAGAAGTTTAGCTTCTACAGAAATGCACTTTCTGAAGAATTGAAAATCACTCGTCACTTTTTTTTATAGTGAAATACATCATTTTTTATGTCAGATAAAAATATAAGAAGATGTGATATGATTGCCAATGAGACAACTCTCCACCAGAGACCAAATGCCGTATAGAAGTTAGCAACTATAGATCACCGTACGGGTTTCAATAATGAACTAGACAGCTCTCTCACAAACATAAAACCTTCATCGTAAAATATAAGGCCATACACCACAGGGACGGGGACAAATTCTACTGCATCCGCACAGCACGAGCATAAAACCCAAAAAATAAAATGAAAATAAGAAGATGAGGTGATTGCAACTCTCCACCAGAGACTAAATGACGTAGAGGTTACCGGTATTAACTAGAGGTCACCGTACGGCCTTCAACATTGAGCTTCAGATGTCTTGATTACTAAAAAATAGAATGTCGAGAGTACAAACGAAAGATATGTTCAAACAAAATATAATTGAATTATATTAAACTGTGTTAAAGGTATCCTTAACAGAAATGACGAAATGACAAAAGTGTCGAGCTACTATAGTTATGAACTCTGTTCGGTTTCAATTGATTGATGGTTATTAAAGTGGAAATTTTCAACGATTAAAAAGTCTATTATGACATAGCAGTTGTGGTTATTTTTAAAATGTTATTAGTAAAGTGACATTTTACTTATTAGTTTTTTAAATGAAGCATAATATGTAATGACTCCTACCCATTTATCTAAAAAAAACAGTTCGTTAACCTTCTTTTGCACTTTTGCAAAAAAGGAACGTTTTTTTTTTTTTATATTGCAGATCATTTAATTTTGTTTACACTAAATACGTGTTTTAGTGGCAATATTTCAAAATTAAAAACAAAACAGATATATAAATATTTCAGGCGAAGATCAACTTAAAAGCATCATACATTATTATTCTTTTTTTTTACTAAAATACTTAAATTACGTAAGTTTTACGGGGATAGCGACCTGAAGTTAAAGTCTCACAGGTACAAAGACCATATCTTAAAAATCTTAAAGGTATACAGAATTCTTCAATGAGCATTACTTAACTTCAGTCGTACATGTGCAGTGAACTTGCCTTAGTATTGTCTTACAGGTCAAATTACCTCAGCCTAGGTCTCACTATTACACTGACCGTGACTTACTGTCTTGCAGGTACAGTGTCCTTAACTTACAAAGTGTTACTAGTACCATGACCTAAACTAACAAATTAAAGTCCTACATGTACAGTGACCATAACTTACAAAGTCTAATAGGCACATTGACCTAGACTTACAAGGTCTTACAAGTACATTGACATTAGCTTAGTAAGTCTTTCTGGTGCAGTGGCCTTATCTAACAAAGTCTTACTGGACTAATACAGTGTCACTGTGACCTCAACTTACAAAGTCTGACAGGTGCGTTGACCTCAACATAGACAGTCTTACAGGTAGTTAAACACCTTAACTTTGGAAGTTTCCCAAGTGCAGTTAAAATTATTTATAGTTGTACAGGTACTAATTTTCTTTGTTTTGATCTATATCTTTACTAGGGGTTTTCTGTTTGATCAACAAGTGGAGTAAGGTCTAGTTGTTTATTTACACCGTACTCTCTGTGGGAGGCATAATTTTATGCAGACCATTTTTCCTATAATACACTGATTTAACCTACAATATGAAGAATGTTGAAAAAGCTTTTGAGATTATTAACATCAGATAATATCATGAAAAAATATAATCAAAGCATCGTCGATGTTGTGATCCAGCCATATTCATAGCTAGTCTGATATTCTTTCTGACCATACTTTTTTCAATATTTTTTTCTCTTTTCATTTCCAATTTTACTATAAAATTTCTATGTTATTGTCCAAAGGCAAGGAATTTCGCAATATTGATATTTCAATTTTAGACTCTGTCAGATTTTTTTTTATAAATATTTGCAATTTAATGGTATAGACAAGAATGGAAAGGGAAATCGTCAAACAAGTAATATATTTTTTTATATGCCATTAATAATAACTGGCTTAATAATTTCCAGAAAGAAGCCTTGGAAATGCACTTTCTCAACAACAAAAATTAAAGAAAATAATAACTTTTTTTTATCTAAATTGGTGTTTATCTGTAGTAGAGAATTGATAAGAAGTAGTGGATTCGTAAACGATAATCAACGAGCGACTTTAGTCGCAAGTTGATTATCATTTCAACCAAATTTCTGATAATTGTTGCTAATTAATTAGAACTTGATTATTGACTTATGTCAAATGAAAATGACACTGAATTTAGTAGTGAAATAAAATTTGCTTGCATTTTTTATACATATTTTTTATCATTTCTTGTCTTTTCATCGAAAAAAAACCCAACATCTGATTAATCAATCAGCTAGCTAGCAAAATTAACAGAATATTTTAATGTAGTGTAGATCAAAATAAATGATACTTTTGTATGTTTACTATTAAGGTCAAGAATTTGTGTATTCAGTTAGGTGTGTAATAAATTGTGTCTATTTAATTACGTAACAGGTCATGAGATATTAACTGTGGTGAATTAAGACTGGGGTTGTTTCCAATTAATACTTACACCTTTGAGTGTAATTATTTGAAAATCATGACAGTTGATAATCATACTGACTCTTACTTGTTTATGGAAAGAATTGGAGTAATACCATTTCAAAAAAAGTGTGGGAATCAACTTAGATATATTAATACACATGTTGACCTAAATTTCATTGAACAATAACTTACACAAACATAAGATACTAATATAGTACTTTCAAAATTCTTATCAACTGATTCAATTGATGTACAAATACTTTTTCAAATTAATTCATAAATATTAAATCATTATAAATTTTGATTTACAAAGGAACTATATGCAAGTGTATATCTAAAATAAAAGGATTGTTTGACCAATCTTTTCTTAATCTAAGGGCAAATAACATGTCAAAAGTTGGCAGTTCATGATTAAAATGGTGTAGAAAGTTTCTGCAAGTTGTAAAAACACATAATTAGTTCCATGATATGTCTTCAACTTAGTATTCTGCACAATCTCCAAAACCAAAGTGATCGCATAGATCCAGCATGGCTGAATCAAAAATTCTTGAGATAAAAGTTTTCAAGTTCTTAAAGGTAGTATGGGAGTCTTCCACCATCTTGGATTGTAAAATTGCAGAACACAATTGGTCTAGATTTTCAATCAAGTCAGTAAATTTCGATGCTAGAATGCAATTTACTAATAAGGATTTTTCTTTAAATGAACAAATTTATGTGATATTATCTTATAATTACTATTGATTTAAGCAAAAAATAAATAAAGCACAAATATTCTGCCTGAACTTTTTTTTTAACTAAGCATATTTAAGGGAGGTAACTCAGAAATTGTATAATTTATAAAGGAATTACAGGAAATTTTTTTTGCATGTTAAAGCCAGAAAAAATGTATGGTGACCCCATTTTTTCTTTTTACATTCTGAAAGCATTTTATAAGAGCTATCTTCTCATATTTTATTTCAAAATTCTATCATTTAGTTTACCTTCTTAACACCTAATGATACTTTTCCCCTGTATAATCCATACAAAATATATCACTTTTCAAAACTTGTGTCTTGAAAAAAGCTTGGTGACCTATCGTTTTTATTAATATTTTTGAACATGTACCAATATGTACTACATTTTGGCAAAGTATGAAAAAATTGTATCATGTTTTGTTTATACACTCTGACCGGTACAACCTTATTCCTTCCAATTGTTAAAATATAATATTCATTTGTTTAAGAGAGTAAATCAAAATAAAATTTCAAAGTATTTTTTTCTCTTGGACGTTATCTGAAACTGATTGAAAGTCAGCAATGTTAGTTTGTGGAAGGTGATATTTAAGGAAACTTGTTTATGAATGATCTTATCATTTTTACACATTTTTGTTGAAATTATCAAATTTTAAAATAAGTTCTTCAATGATGCCATTGCTCTTTTTAACCCTTTTTATAGAATACTTCTGTGTCAAGTAACCTGTTCACAAAAATTCCTACCATTTATAGCATAACATATGTAGTTTGTCATCAACTTCTGACCCTTCCAGAGCACCTGAGCTCATCCCCAGTTTTTGATGGAGTTTAAGCTCCTCAATCTTAAGTAATGTTTTGTGGACTATGTTTGTCTTTTCATATTTTTTTTCTTTGTT